AGGTGCCGATGTTGATTGTTAGGTCAAGAGTGGGACAATCTTTTCCCGGGAGGAAGAGCAGCTCAGTCTTGTCAAGGTTGAGCTTGAGGTGGTGAGCAGACATCCACTGAGAGATGTCAGCTAGACAAGCAGAGATGCGTGCAACGACCTGGGTCTCTGAGCGGGGAAAGGACAGAATTAATTGGGTGTCATCAGCGTAGCAGTGGTAAGAAAAACCATGCGGGCTAATGACTGATCCGAGCGAGTTTGTGTACAGGGAGAAGAGGAGGGGACCAAGAACAGAGCCCTGAGGGACCCCTGTAGTTAATTGACAAGGGTCGGACTCAGACCCTCTCCAAGTCACCCTGTAGGTACGGTCTTTCAGGTATGAGGTGAGGAGGGAAAGTGCAGAGCCTGAAACTCCAAGTTTTTGGAGAGTGCGAAGGAGGATCTGATGATTCACCGTGTCGAATGCAGCAGACAGGTCCAACAGGATGATGACAGAGGAGAGGGATGCAGTTTTGGCAGTGTGCAGTTCCTCCGTGACAGCAATGAGAGCAGTTTCTGTGGAGTGACCTGCCTTGAAACCAGACTGGTGCGGATCCAGAAGGTTGTTCTGATTGAGATAACAGGAGAGTTGTTTAAAGACAGCGCGTTCAAGTGATTTAGACAGAAATGGGAGGAGAGAGACAGGCCTGTAGTTTATAACATCAGACGGGTTGAGAGTGGGTTTCTTTAGGAGAGGGTTTACTCTTGCCTCCTTGAGACTGTTTGGAAAGTGACCAGAAGTTAGAGAAGTGTTGATGAAATGGGTGAGAAACGGTAGAATATCAGGAGCGATAGTCTGAAGGAGGTTTGAAGGGATAGGGTCCAGAGGACAGGTGGTAGGGCGGGCAGAGGTAATGAGGGTAAGAACCTCACTTGGAGAGAGAGGGGAAAAGGAGGTTAAGTGTGTTGGTGAAGGAGGGTCTGGTGACCCAGCGGTGAGTAAAGGTGAGTCAGAAAAAGAAGAGCGAATATCATCAACCTTTTTTTCAAAGTGAGTAACAAAGTCGCTTGACAGAAGTGAGGAGGGGGGAGGAGCTTTTGGAGGGGTCCAGGAGGGAGGAGAAGATGGAAAATAGTTTTTTAGGATTGGAATAGGAAGATTGGATCTTATCTTGAAAGAAAGTGCTTTTTGCCTGAGAGATCGAAGCAGAGAAAGAGGAGAGGAGAGCTTGATAGGTTAGGAGGTCGTCACGGTGTTTGGATTTCCACCATTTCCGCTCTGCTGCCCTAAGGACGGTTCTATTAGCACGCAGTGCATCATTTAGCCAGGGAGCAGGAGGGGACTGACGAGCCTGCCGAGATGTGAGAGGACAGAGAGAGTCCAGAGAGGATGAGAGAGTAGAGAGGAGAGTTTCTGCAGCAGAGTTTGGAGGCAGGAGATTGGAACGAATCAGAGGAAGGGAGGGCTGAGAGCACCGACGAGGCAAAGGTAGAGGGGGAGAGGGAGCGAAGGTTACGGCGGACAGGTGCAGGATGAGAAGAGATTAGTTTGTTATGTTTGGAAAGGGATAGAGAGAATGAAATGAAGAAGTGATCGGATGTGTGGAGCGGGTTTACAGAGAGGTTAGAAGTAGCGCAGTTCCTTGAGAATATGAGATCAAGGACATTGCCAGCTTTATGAGTCGGTGGGGACGGAGACAGTGAGAAAGCAAAGGCGGTTAACAGAGATGTTAGTTCGTCTATCTTCCCCGTCTGGAGGTTGAAGTCTCCGAGAAGTACAGCGGGAGGGCCAGTTTCAGGGATGAGTGAGAGGAGATTATCTAATTCCTCCAAGAAGTCCCCCAAGGCGCCTGGTGGACGGTAGAGAACAACAATGGTTAACTGTATAGGATGGGTTACTGTGACGGCATGGAACTCAAAGGTGGAAGGAGTGAAGTTAGGTAGCTTGAAGAGGGAAAAGCTCCATTTGGGAGAGAGCAGGAGACCAGTGCCACCTCCTCTGCCAGTGGGTCTGGGTGTATGGGAGAAGGAATATGCAGTGGAGAGAGCTGCTGGGGTGGATGTGTTGGATGGAGTAATCCAGGTCTCAGTGAGAGCAAGGAAATCCAGAGACTGCAGGGAGGCGTAGCCAGAGATGAAGTCAGCCTTAGGAACAGCTGACTGGCAATTCCACAGGCCCCCTGAAACTAGATGTTGGATCTCAGTGGAGCACGTGGGATAGACGAGAGCGGGCCGGTTATATCGATTAGGAGATACACGGGGCCAGTGATAATTGCGAGAATACACATGAACAGGAATAGAGAAAATACACATGATTATAGCATGCGGGGCTAGAAAACTAAAGAAAAGAGAAATAAGACACCAGCTCGATCAGAGTAGGATTTGCCTCCTCTTTGCCTCCCTCGTGACTCCCGCAGGACTCCAATGTCTTTGTCAGTCTTACTCCCGCAGGACTCCAATGTCTTTGTCAGTCTTCGGCTGTCTGACGCTGAAGCTGACGCTCCAGGAAAGAGCTACCCGAAATGGACGCCTGATTGCTCAGTTCTCACAGCTGTAGGGCCACGGCCCTCTAATTAGTTAACTATCTACAGCTGATGGGCGACAATAGACTGGCCGTGCCTATATTAATGCAGGCTTGAGTGCTGAGACCTGTAAAGCAGGTTTCGCCTGAGCAGATCTGAGATTTAAAATCTCTCAAACGCGATTTAGCCGTTTACGCTACAATAACAATTATACAGAGTCGAATAAATGAAACAGAGAAGTCTAATTAAATTGACTTCGCACCACGACAAAGGAGCCTCTTTCACTTTACATTGGGGTTGTTTGCGTGGTGCAGACACGTAAATGTAGCAGAGTTTGTGACTCCACCACGTACTGCGGTGTTAAGGAGTCGTGGTGGAGTCACGTATTCTGGTGAGACCAGGTTGGTAAGAAAGCCTCAACCCCAAGTGAGCTTGTAGTCTTAAAGGTCCCAAGTCATGCTTTTCCGGTTATTACATTATGAAGGTTTTTCTGCATGTAAACGGTCTGCAGAGTCACAAACCCTCAAAGTACACCCTGTAGCGAGTAAAACTCTAACACAGAGAAGACCTGTGTGTGCTGCCCCAGGAGACCAGGTTGTTTCTTACACGTTGCTTGACAGCCCCACTTATCTGATCTAAACATAGTAACGTGTGTTGGGGGAAATCATTATTTAAAGTTATTTAATAATTGTGACATTCATTTTACTTTTTGATGGATGAATGATGCTCAAAGTGAGGGGGCAAAGAATACATCTGATGGAGCAATGCCCCCTTTTGCCCTTGTCTTGGTGAGGGTCTACGTGGAGTACTGTCGGTCTTTGTCCTCAAAACACATCTCATATTTACACCTGAAGAGGAACCAGGAAGTACTTGTTCCTCTATGTTGGTAGAACTGCAATAAAACACCAGAGTACACACTTCCTGTGAAAATCCCTTTAATTTCTGTGTTCATTTTACTACAAAAGCATCTGTCATCAAACGTTCACAATACAAAATGTCCACAGATCTGAAGAAGGAGGGGGTTGGGGGCAGGGTTGGGTTGTAACGGAATACATGTAACAGCGTTACGTAATCAGAATACAAAAATCAAGTAACTGTGTTCAACTCGCGTTACATTTGAAAAACGAGTAATCTGATTACTGTTACTTTCGTAAACGTGAAGTGAATACATTTTGGATTACTTATTGGAATTATTGCTGGAAAGATTTCCTCACAACATTTAACATTCATTACTAAAGGTAGCCTACAGCCAAATCATCACAGCGCACAAAACCTATTACTGCCGCAGATGGACCAAAAAAGGGAGTGTTTGAAAAAAATGTGCGGGTCCGCTCAGTGAAACGATAACAACGAAACATGGAGGAACAAAAGTCTGCGCTTAAATCGTGGCGATATCGACACCACTTAGAATTTAAACAAGACCATGGGAAGAATATCACGGTCCAATGTACCTTGTGTCTTCCAACCATCAATACACTGTCTGCATCAAAGGACTCCACGTCTAATCTTAAAAAGCACTTGTAGGTAAGTCAACGTTTGCTTTTTTTGCTTTCTTTATTGTTGAAATTATATGAAGTCCGTTATCCCGGCTTCAACAAAGTTACCTTACTGTTTTATAAAAGGGAAATAAACACACACACACACACACACACACACACACACACACACACACACACACACACACACACACACACACACACACACATCATTCACCTTGGTGACCGGAGATCTCCTTTATAAAACTAATTAAAGGGGGAATAATCGGGCAGTTCGTGTGTAGGTGTATGTGTGTGTGTAGAAGTGTGTGTGGTTAAAACACATCAGCGGTAACCCTCCTGATTGGTCAGAGCGTTGGGGGGGTCAGGGTCCGTGTGATTGGTTAGAGCGTTGGGGGGTTCAAGGTCCGTGTGATTGGTTAGAGCGTTGGGGGGGGGGGGGGGGGGGGGGTCAGGATCCATGTGATTAGTCAGACCGTTGTGGGGTTCAGGGTCCGTGTGATTGGTTAGAGCGTTGGGGGGGGGGGTCAGGATCCGTGTGATTGGTCAGAGCGTTGGGGGGGGTTAGGATCCGTGTTATTAGTCAGAGCGTTGGGGGGGGGTCAGGATCTGTGTGATTGGTCAGAGCGCTGGGGGGGTCAGGGTCCGTGTGATTGGTCAGAGCGTTGGGGGTCGGGTCAGGGTCCGTGTGATTGGTCAGAGCGTTGGGGGATTCAGGGTCTGTGTGATTGGTCAGAGCGTTGGGGGGGGGGGGGTCAGGATCCGTGTGATTGGTCAGAGCGCTGGGGGGGTTCAAGGTCCATGTGATTGGTCAGAGCGTTGGGGGGTTCAGGGTCTGTGTGATTGGTCAGAGTATTGGGGGGGTCAGGGTCTGTGTGATTGGTCAGAGCGTGGGGGGGGGTCAGGGTCTGTGTGATTGGTCAGAGCGTGGGGGGGGTCAGGATCCGTGTGATTGGTCAGAGCATTGGGGGGGGGGTCAGGGTCCATGTGATTGGTCAGATAATTGGGGGGGTCAGGGTCTGTGTGATTGGTCAGAGCGTGGGGGGGGTCAGGGTCTGTGTGATTGGTCAGAGCGTGGGGGGGGTCAGGATCCGTGTGATTGGTCAGAGCATTGGGGGGGGGTCAGGGTCCATGTGATTGGTCAGATAATTGGGGGGGTCAGGGTCCATGTGATTGGTCAGAGAGCGTTGAGGTCACTCCCCTCTGCCTCCTCCAGTTCTTTTAAAGCCACGCCTGCTTCTGGTTAAAGAGGGGCGAGGTTTGTTTCCGACCTGAACAAAAACATTTATATTAGCAAGGATGCTTACACAGCTAACATGGATATATATACGCTTTCAGAGCTAATGAGGCTAACTCTGTTAACAAAGCTAACACCGATGACCCTGTCCCAGCTAATAAAGCTAACAAAGGTTATACTTACAATGCTGGCACTGCTAACGCTAGCACAGCTGATTCAGCTATATTACAGAGCGAATAATTAAGCCGCTAGCCGTTAGCTTACCCGTTCTCCTCCACATCCTCGATGGTGTCGGGCAGCGGCTTGTTGAGCGTCTCCGGCAGGAAGCAGGCGAAGACGCTGGCTAACACTGCCGCCCCCCCGTAAACAACACTGGGCAGAGCAGGGAGTACCTGGGAAATGTAACCCATCAGAAGGGTTAGCATGAATTACGTAGGAAGGGGGAGATGTATCTGATTCCTGGACCTACTTATAAATATGGGACAAAAAACAACAACAACAACAAATATGATAACATGTTCGACGAAAGACCTCATCAAGGATCAGGACCGCGGGCGCCGCCATGCTGCCGACCCTCGCCATGGTGGAAACAAAGCCCAATCCTGTCTGCCTGCACACACACACACACACACACACACACACACACACACACACACACACACACACACACACACACACACACACACACACACACACACACACACAAAAACAGAGATGATGCCCGGCTGTGTAATGTATGTATACTGTATGTATTTCAACCCAGTCTCACGGCATTTCGTGTTCACCAACACGATTTTAAATCTATTGATTCCTGTTCCCCAACACGATTTGCCCCTTTTTTTCGTGTTGCACAGCACGATTTTAAAAGCAATGTATTTCTACTGCCTGCAGCACGTCTTTTTCTCCGGTCGGGTCGAGGAAGACCGGAAGCTGTGTGGTTCATAAAAACATGTTCTTACTCAATATCAAGCCACAGTTATTGCTTTTATTTGAAATCGTATAATTTCGGACTTTTTCTGCCGTCTGTGAGGAAAATAAATGGCTCAGAGCCTCAGGATACGGAAATCTGTATTTTTAAATATTTTTTTCCTTCTAATTTGATATTCTTTTCAAAATAACACACTGTTATTTACTCACCAATAACACACAATTATCCTTGCTTTTATTTATTGGTTTAATTCCATAATCTCGGGCTGTTTTGGCGTCCGTCACGAACTGAATTTCAAAATAAAAATAACCGCATCATTGCCATTGTCAACATTTCTGAGTTTAGGATGGCCGAAGACACTACACTACCCATAATCCCCAGCTATCGTTTAGGACTACAGTCCCCGTAAGGTTACGCAGAGCGTCAAACAGCTGTGTGAAATGGAACGAAACCACGCCAGACTATCCAAAACTGGAATTGAACGCCTCCCAGAACTACACATGCTGGCTATTGTGTTTTGCAAAATGTTCCATGGGACGTCTCTACTGAACGTTTTCGTGTTTCCCACAATTAGAAGTTGCCAGTATTAAACACATTGGTGTTATCAAATGTAAAACATATAATTAATAAATGGGTGAAAATCGCTTGTGTCCATAATGCGCAGCATTAATACCCACATGACAGCTCATTGTTACTTTGTAATTCTACTACACTACAATTCAGAGGTTAACCTGGTATTTTTACTCCATTGCATTTATTTGAGTTACTTTGCAGATTCTGATAAATTATGTGAAATATAAACAACCCTTAAATCAGACTTTAGTTACACCTGAGTAAAATTCAGGGAAGGTGATTGTCAAGTGCCAACAATCAGGAGAGATATTTGATAGTTGGTGCTTGAGAAGACTAAACATGTATCTGCAATTGACATGAATGGAAACGAGTAATAAAGTATATTCATTACTCGTTATTCTCTACTAATAGTTCATTAAAGACTGTATATTATGGCTATTTTGCACATCCCTTTCAAGATTTTCAAAGGTGTATTGACATATCATATACACAACTACGGTGTAGTTATGCAATGAATGAAACACTTGGGTCACATATTCCTCAACAGTGCATTACAAGACATCTATCAATATGTGTGTACCTCCACCATTAAACTGTCATATTCTGCACATTTCTTATTCTATCTACATACATAAGAGTATAATTCATATGTATAATATCAGTTAAAATAAGTGCTTCAGCATAGTTAACATTGCAGGAAAGCAATATATTAGACGTAAAGTACTTTGTCAGGCTTAATATTTATCTGTAGATAGATACCCCCAACGTTTTTTTCTTATTTAAAAGAAGACCTTAATCTGTTATTTAATGTTTAAATAAAGGTTAATTCGTTTTTCTGTTTTGCACCTCCTCATATTAATATCTTTGTACATTCTGCACTAAACTGTTTTATTGTAGAGATCACTTTATAGTATCTTCTTGATTTTTTATATTCTATATTTATACTTTCCCCCTATGAAAGTATGTACTCTAAATATTTTTTTAATCAAATAAAACACAATAATTCAATTCATTTTCATTTCAAACCTTTATTTAACCAGATTGGTCCCATTGAGATCATAGATCTCTTTTTCAAGGGAGACCTGCAGTAATAATAACGTGCTTTAACCACTAGGAGGTGCACACAAGGTACACACAGCCATAATAACTTTGTATTATTAGTGTAGGACACTTTTGTTTTCGTACAACATCTGAAAATGTGTAGTTTTATGCATGCTTTCACATAATGTTACAGCATATTGCTATACTATTTCAGACTCAGTATTTACATTCTTACATTCAAAGAAAATCAGTAATATCTTTAAAAACTACAGTCCTTTTATATCAGCTGTGCACCGTTATGGTTTAATTATAACCTATCTGTGAATTAGATCAAATGTAAAAGTCAGCCGAATTAGTGTTGATACTGCAAGGAGACGTATTGTGTGAAGAGAAATTGAAGATGTTGTTTAATTGTTGAATATATTTATGATCCACGTCAAGTATTCAGTTTCGGCGGCATTTTCTCAGTTTTTTCAAAGGTCTTCTCATCAGGGCTCTATAAATAAAGAACTACGGCAGATCTGTAATATACAATGCAGCCGAACCGTGTATTACAATGCCGTTATGTGAAGACTTTCAAAGAGAAAAGCAAGAGCACTCGGAATAAAGTATTATTTTATTATTTTAAAAATGTTTCCCGGATTTCATATCATATAAACACCAAATCCCAGCATGCATTGCGGCTAAAACATCCAATAAACGAGCTTAAAACCATAGCTGAGGATCTTGGGTAATCGCTCGAAATGCCTACGTCTGTTTCCGGTTATTTTTATTTTGAAATTCAGTTCGTGACGGACGCCAAAACAGCCCGAGATTATGGAATTAAACCAATAAATAAAAGCAAGGATAATTGTGTGTTATTGGTGAGTAAATAACAGTGTGTTATTTTGAAAATAATAACAAATTAGAAGGAAAAAAAGATTTAAAAAATACAGATTTCAGTATCCTGAGGCTCTGACCCATTTATTTTCCTCACAGACGGCAACAAAAGTCCGAAATTATATGATTTCAAATAAAAGCAATAACTGTGGCTTGATATTGAGTAAGAACATGTTTTTATGAACCACACAGCTTCCGGTCTTCCTCGACCCGACCGGAGAAAAATACGTGCTGCAGGCAGTAGAAATACATTGCTTTTAAAATCGTGCTGTGCAACACGAAAAAAAGAGGCAAATCGTGTTGGGGAACACGAATCAATAGATTAAAAATCATGTTGGTGAACACGAAATGCCGTGAGACTGGGTTGTGTATTTATATATGTACAGGGGCTCACCTGAGCACGGTGGGGTACAGCTCACCTGTGTATAGGTACACGGTGGTGAAGGAGGCCGAGGTGAAGCATTTACCCAGACAGGCCAGTATGGTGCGAACCGTCTGCATGTCTGTGGGGGGAGTACACCTGTATCTCACACCTCAGTACACTCTGTGTGTTAGTGTGTGTGTGTGTGTGTGTGTGTGTGTGTGTGTTACCTGCAGGGACCAGGATGTTGGCAAAGATGAAGAGGGCGGAGACGAACAGGCAGGTGGCCTGAGAGACACGTCTCCCCAGGTAACTGAGCATGCCCAGAGCCCCCAGCTTGGCGGGAAAATCCATGGCCCCGAAGATCAGCTGGATCTGGTAGATACTCACCTGGACAGGTGAGACAGGTGGGATGGAGACAGGTTGGACAGGTGGGACGGAGACAGGTGGTACAGAGACAGATGAGACAGGAACATGTGAGACAGGAACAGGTGAGACAGGAGGACAGTTGAGACAGGAACAGGTGAGACAGGAGGACAGGTGAGACAGGAACAGGTGAGACAGGAGGCCAGGTGAGACAGGAACAGGTGGTATAGAGATAGGTGGTACAGAGAGAGATGAGACACGAGGACAGGTGAGACAGGAACAGGTGAGACAGGAACAGGTGAGACAGGATGACAGGTGAGACAGGAATATGTGAGACAGGAACAGGTGAGACAGGAGGACAGGTGAGACAGGAGGACAGGTGAGACAGGAACAGGTGAGACAGGATGACAGGTGAGACAGGAACAGGTGAGACAGGAGGACAGGTGAGACAGGAACAGGTGAGACAGGAACAGGTGAGACAGGAGGACAGGTGAGACAGGAACAGGTGAGACAGGAACAGGTGAGACAGGAACATGTGAGACAGGAACAGGTGAGACAGGAACAGGTGAGACAGGAACAGGTGAGACAGGAACAGGTGAGACAGGAGGACAGGTGAGACAGGAGGACAGGTGAGACAGGAACAGGTGAGACAGGAACAGGTGAGACAGGAGGACAGGTGAGACAGGAACAGGTGAGACAGGAACATGTGAGACAGGAACAGGTGAGACAGGAACAGGTGAGACAGGAACAGGTGAGACAGGAGGAGGTATGTTTGTTCTTTCTGATGTAATTTGATCGTAATTCTCTGTTAGTGAAAACATTCAGAGAGCAACAGGAAGTGTTAGCTTAGCTGCTGTTAGCTTACATGTAGCATCAGTGCTAATCATGTGACTCACCCCAAACTTCTGCAGGTCCATCGCCAGACCATAATACGCAAAGCTGGTGGCAAACCTGCAGGATGACATCGCTGTCAGACGGGCATAACTTTATGTACATAAATATATAATTATATAAATATATCATGTGAAATATATCATGTAGAAATATAATCTATGTAAACACACTGCTGCTATCTGACATGTGTATCTGTGTTTTCAGTTTGAGAAAGCTTCATATTGACTCTACTCTGTCAGCTGAGAGCAGAACAATAACGTTTATTACAGATGTGTGTGTGTTAATAAAGGTGTGTGTGTGTTAATGAAGGTGTGTGTGTGTTAATAAAGGTGTGTGTGTGTTAATGAAGGTGTGTGTGTGTTAATGAAGGTGTGTGTGTGTTAATGAAGGTGTGTGTGTTAATAAAGGTGTGTGTGTGTTAATGAAGGTGTTAATAAAGGTGTGTGTGTTAATGAAGGTGTGTGTGTGTTAATGAAGGTGTGTGTGTGTTAATGAAGGTGTGTGTGTGTTAATGAAGGTGTGTGTGTGTTAATGAAGTTGTGTGTGTTATAAAGGTGTGTGTGTGTTAATGAAGGTGTGTGTGTGTGTGTGTTAATGAAGGTGTGTGTGTTAATAAAGGTGTGTGTGTTAATGAAAGGTGTGTGTGTGTTAATAAAGGTGTGTGTGTTAATGAAGGTGTGTGTGTGTTAATGAAGGTGTGTGTGTGTTAATAAAGGTGTGTGTGTTAATGAAGGTGTGTGTGTGTGTTAATAAAGGTGTGTGTGTTAATGAAGGTGTGTGTGTGTTAATGAAGGGTGTGTGTGTGTTAATAAAGGTGTGTGTGTTAATGAAGGTGTGTGTGTGTTAATGAAGGTGTGTGTGTTAATAAAGGTGTGTGTGTTAATGAAGGTGTGTGTGTGTTAATGAAGGTGTGTGTGTGTTAATAAAGGTGTGTGTGTTAATGAAGGTGTGTGTGTTAATAAAGGTGTGTGTGTGTTAATGAAGGTCTGTTTATGTTAATAAAGGTTTATTGAACTCCCACCAGACCACCATCAGGCAGATGGAGATGCGTCGAATTTGTCTCGTCCTCAGAAGGTCGTACGCTGTGAAGGTCGATCGGCTCGAGTCCATCTCCTTCTTCATATGGGAGTGCAGCACCTGCGGGTCACATGTTGCCGAGCTCAGCGTCTCATTGGGCATCACAGGTCACAGGGTGCCGAGCTCAGCTTATCATTGGACATCACAGGTCACACGGTGCCGAGCTCAGCTTATCATTGGACATCACAGGTCACACAGTGCCGAGCTCAGCTTATCATTGGACATCACAGGTCACACGGTGCCGAGCTCAGCTTATCATTGGACATCACAGGTCACACGGTGCCGAGCTCAGCTTCTCATTGGACATCACAGGTCACAGGGTGCCGAGCTCAGCTTATCATTGGACATCACAGGTCACATGTTGCCGAGCTCAGCTTCTCATTGGACATCACAGGTCACAGGGTGCCGAGCTCAGCTTCTCATTGGACATCAAAGGTCACATGGTGCCAAGCTCAGCTTATCATTGGACATCACAGGTCACAGGGTGCCGAGCTCAGCTTCTCATTGGACATCAAAGGTCACACAGTGCCGAGCTCAGCTTCTCATTGGACATCACAGGTCACACAGTGCCGAGCTCAGCTTCTCATTAGACATCACAGGTCACACGGTGCCGAGCTCAGCTTCTCATTGGACATCACAGGTCACACAGTGCCGAGATCAGCTTCTCATTGGACAGCAGACATCTCTAAATGTATGACGGACAGTTGACAGCTTACCTCCAGCGTTAACGTGTTCTCGATGTCTTTCTTCCCGTTGACTCGAGCGACTCGGTGCAGAGACTTCAGAGCGTCTTCAGAACGACGATTCAGAACCAACCAGCGGGCCGACTCCGAGAACCACCTGACCAATCAGAGAGCAGAGCCACCTGAGCATTCAGAGAGCAGAACCTCCTGATCAATCAGAGAGCAGAATCACCTGACCAATCAGAGAGCAGAACCTCCAGAGCAATCAGAGAGCAGAACCACCTGACCAATCAGAGAGCAGAACCACTTTGAAAGGCACTGACCAGGAGTAGGAGAAGAACAGGAACTGGGGCAGAGGCTTTTATTTTGAAAGGTACTGACCAGGTGTAGGAGAAGAACAGGAACTGGGGCAGAGGCTTTTATTTTGAAAGGTACTGACCAGGAGTAGGAGAAGAACAGGAACTGGGGCAGAGGCTTTTATTTTGAAAGGTACTGACCAGGAGTAGGAGAAGAACAGGAACTGGGGCAGAGGCTTTTATTTTGAAAGGTACTGACCAGGTGTAGGAGAAGAACAGGAACTGGGGCAGAGGCTTTTATTTTGAAAGGTACTGACCAGGTGTAGGAGAAGAACAGGAACTGGGGCAGAGGCTTTTATTTTGAAAGGTACTGACCAGGAGTAGGAGAAGAACAGGAACTGGGGCAGAGGCTTTATTTTGAAAGGTACTGACCAGGTGTAGGAGAAGAACAGGAACTGGGGCAGAGGCTTTTATTTTGAAAGGTACTGACCAGGTGTAGGAGAAGAACAGGAACTGGGGCAGAGGCTTTTATTTTGAAAGGTACTGACCAGGAGTAGGAGAAGAACATGAACTGGGGCAGAGATTTTATTTTGAAAGGTACTGACCAGGAGTAGGTGAAGAACAGGAACTGGGGCAGAGGCTTTTATTTTGAAAGGTACTGACCAGGTGTAGGAGAAGAACAGGAACTGGGGCAGACACACCACCAGCTGAAGTTTCCTCCAGTCTCTCAGCCAATAGGCAAGCCCCGCCAGGATCATCTGACCAAACGTGAAGAAGAAGGAAGTGAGAGTTCCAACCAGAGTCCTCTGTTTGGTGGGGATCCACTCCACCTCTGCAGACAGACAGGTAGTTAGAGAGACAGGTAGTTAGAGACAGACAGGTGGTTAGAGACAGACAGGTGGCTAGAGAGACAGGTAGTTAGAGACAGACAGGTGGTTAGAGACATGTAGCAGGTAGACAGGTACTCAGAGAGACTCAGTTCAGAATGCCTCCAGAGACAGACAGACAGACAGACAGACAGACAGACAGACAGACAGACAGACAGACAGACAGACAGACAGACAGACAGACATACAGACAGACAGACAGACAGACAGACAGACAGACAGACAGACAGACAGACAGACAGACAGACAGACAGACAGACAGACAGACAGACAGACAGACAGACAGACAGACAGACAGACAGACAGACAGACAGACATACAGACAGACAGACAGACAGACAGACAGACAGACAGACAGACAGACAGACAGACAGACAGACAGACAGATAGACAGACAGACAGACAGACAGACAGGTAGACAGATAGACAGACAGACAGACATACAGACAGACAGACAGACAGACAGACAGACAGACATACAGACAGACAGACAGACAGACATACAGACAGACAGACAGACAGACAGACAGATAGATAGACAGTACTCAGAGAGAATCCGTTCAGAATGACTCCAGAGACAGCCATGCCGCTCAGGAACCTGAAGGCGCAGTAGGTGGAGTACGAAGGAAGGAAAGCCGAGCTGCACCCCAGGACCCCCAGCTGCAGGTAGGACCAGATCAGCACAGACCGCCTCCCATACCTGAGGACACATTTTGATTGGCTGCTGCTCACAGCTCGTGTGTGTGTGTTATATATACAGTGTTTCCCCTAGGATGGAATCATAGCAGCGGTGCTAAGGCACGTGGGCCCAGCATAATGTGAGCGCGGAGTGCATGGCATTTTTTTTTTTGTGCACGTGCGAAGTGCACCCCGCCGATTTGTTTCTGCCAGCACAAGAAAGGCTCTTGAGGCCTAGTAGTACAAGGGCCGGTTCTAGCCAATTTGCTGCCTGAGGCGATATTTTATATATAAAGAATAAATTAAAGATCTCCACAAAAGACAAATACACTACAAAAACAGAAACCTATTGACATAGGTAATATACGTAAAAATGGCTTCAAATGTATTCAGTATTGTATTCAGATGTTTGAATTGGGGGGTGGACATCACATCCTCTAGGGGGATCCGGGGGTGTGCCCCCCCGGGAAGATTTTAAAGTAAAATGCTTCAATCTGGTGCACTTTGAGCACACAATTACTAGAGACCTGACCTAGGGGGTACAACTCTAAAACACCCATATGAAAAAGATCGGTTTACATTTTAATAATCAAATAAGTATGTGAACATAACCAATAACCTACCATAGCCAATAACAAATACATGTAACTTGTTTTATTTTTGTTTTTCATTCATATCTTATTTTACCTTAACATTTATTTATGCATATTTTTGTATCTCTCCAACTTTAAACGATATGTTTGGTTTACTGTCCTATAGTATACATTGGAATGATTTCAAACCTGTTTTTATTTATCCTAATAATTATAAAGGAGTGCCTTGGAAATATGTGTTTACATAAATTGTGGTCAAAACGTTTGAGACCCTCTGAGATGACTTAGACTAAAATTAACTATCTAAACACTCAGAGAGTCCTATACCTCACTGAGCCTCTCAGTCTGACAGGAGAGCTCTCCTCCACCCTGGTTGTAGAAACATCTACTTCTTATATCCGTTAGCGCAGCTAGCACCAGATTCTAATAACAAAAGCGTCGGTACTGGTGCGCCCTCTCTCTCTCCCTCGCTCGCTCTCTCGCTCGCACTTTGGCTGTGAGCTGCGGGTGCCAGATAAGCCAACATCCCCCACTTTCATCACTTACAGCGCCCATCGTACAGGGCAAATGAAAAGTGTAACCGAGGTGAAAAGGGTGTTACATTTACTTAATTATGAATGTTGTTACATCAAGGCCGAAAATTAGGATGAGCGATAAAGGTCAAAAATGTTTTTCCCCCTCTCAGAGCTACCAGCGCAGCACCCCCCAGATCGGGTGCCCTAGGGCCTAGGCGACCGCCTATGCCAAAAATCGGCCCTGCCTAGTACATACAGTGGCAATCTCTCAAGATTTAGCAAAAATACACCTTTATTGAACATACAGTAACACAAATACTACAAATCCACATAACAAACAATAAAAAATGAAAAAGGGTCGC